GTTATACTTTGAAAAGGGTTACATATAAAATTATATAATCAAAATGGATAGTGAAGGTGATGTCTTTTTCCCCTTTTAGTTCTCTTCTATTGTTAAACTTCCCTTCTCTAGAGTTACATTCTACAGAAAAATCACAGGGTGACTTAATACAAAGAGAAGGAGGGAAGGGGTGCAGGCAGGAATAAAATCTCTGAAGCAGGAAGTTGATAGGTTACTTTCTGTATGAGATAAACAGCACCTCCCTTCACTGTACGGGTACTTTGAAAAGGATAACAAAAAAATTAAGGGTACAAAATGGACAGTGAACATAATTTACTCTCATTCCAAAAAGGTTTATTTGAATGCCCTCCAGAAAAGTCTATTATTGAAAACAAGTAACAGTGGTAAAGGGCAAACTACTGTCCAGGCTTGATAATTAAAGAAAGCATCAGAATGGCAACAATAAACACCTACACTTCAAGACAGGCAAATATAACAGAAGTGCATCTGAAACTCATGACTGCAACTTGTGCTGTTCACATGTTCTCAGACTTGACTTGTGATTTTGGTGTTTAATTCAGGGCAATTACAGACACATGACTTTCAGAAGTTATGGACTTCATGCCTCATGTATTCAAGCCCCTTTAGGCCTTATCACCTTGAAGGCGACATTGTTTCCCCTTTAGGTCTTCATGCATATTTCATCTTCCAGTCTTTATGCAAAGATTTACATATATGACTATCTTTAAACATCTGTATAATCCTATTAAGATCATTGAAGCTACTAAAGTTCTTTAATTTATGGAATTAAATCTTTCCAGGATTTCAGCTAGAGATTTTTGGAAGGTGGCATACAGGAAGTGTTAAAAGTGGATCCTGGCAGAGAATTAGGAGTTACCAGTTCACATAAAGTAGGAACTCCAGAGCAATGATTTCAGAAAAATAAATCTGAACTGCAGAAAACAAATTAATAAATAGGCATAGTGAGAATTCCTAATGAAATCTCACAGCAGATAATACAGGTTTCTCCAACAGTTTCCATGTACAAATTTAGAAAATGAAAAGTGATTCTGTTTTTTTACTTCAGGTTTTAGTCAATTCTTTTGATAAGTACCCTAAAAGGCACAGAAAAAAATAGTGAAATTCTTAAATTCCTATCTTCCGTCTTCTCCACTTTTCTCATTTTTAGAAAAAAGGTAGAACACATGTAGATACAATGTAATTAAAGAATGTAGCTACAAGTTATTTTTCCCTATCTATATGCCAACTTTTCCGCTTTAGAAAGAAAGACCTGAATTTTATTTTTTTTTTTCGAATAAACACTTCCAGTACAGTAGCTACTGTAGTTATTAACATTTTAGGTTATTAACACTAAAAATAAAATGTGTTACTTTTAAAATACAAAGTGGCACTTTATTTCTTCACATGCTCAGACATTCTTCAGTGCTTTTCCGTATAGGAAAACACTCACATAGGAAGAAAGTGTGGGAAATATAATTTTCCCATATTTTTGAAGCTTCCTTTAAAAAAACTGGAATTTCTCAATGGAATAGTTAGGCTGCCTCTATTAATTACCTTCGTACAAGAAAACCAGCTTAGCAGATTTAACTTCTGGGAAAACCACACCAAGATGAGGTATTAGTTTGGCAAAGAGACAAGAGTGTGTCTGTGATTCAGATCAGGGAAAATAAAGGCCAGTGAGTGTTGTAAACAATCAGGATGATTGGCATTTAAAAAAGAAAAAAAGACACTTAGGTTATCAAAGGGTGAATTCACAGTGTGCCATGAGCTGGACTACTCCGTATCTTGCCTCAGGTTTCAGACTATACCTCACTGACTGAGAAAATATGTGTGACAGTGCTGGAAGTGATTGGTAGTGGAGCAGATGAGACTGATGAAGTCAAGATGAGTTCAGTTAGCACAGGATTTAAATCTCTTTATTTCTTAATTCACCAAAGAAGAAATTCTCAAAAGGCACTGGTCAGAACCAAAAAGAAGAAAACAAAAGAAAGGAAAGCACAGCAGGCAGAACCATGAGCCAGACACCTTCTTCTGTACCATATAACAACTGACCTAGTCCTGTATGATTACCTGGATAATATTACACCTGTTTGAGCTGGAATGGGTCTAAGATGATTCCCACAGAATACACGTTATATAACAAACAGGACAATGACATGAAATTAAATGAGAAATATTTCCTCATACAGTTTGAAGTATAATTGTAGAATGCACTGATTTAGGAGAATGTAGGGTCAAATGCGGTGGCTGGATAAGGGAATGAAAGAAAGAGTATTTTATTACCACTAAAAAATATGTCATCCAGTATAACTAAACAAAAAAAAAGAAAACATATGGTTCAGTAGGAAAGTTCCCTATGGGACTTTGGGAATAATTCTCCTGCCAAGCTCTGTTATTATGCTATTGGTTAGATAGAGCATACATCTCCCTCCACACTTCTGAAACACTAGTTCCGATACCCAAGTAAAGTCAGTACTATTTAACATATTTGCCGCACTATGAAGGTACACAAAAGTGGAAAAGACAGAGGGCAGGAATTAGAAAGTTAACTAATCCCGTGTTGTGGTGTTACACAGTCATGACTACAAAAGCGCTAATGACTGCATGAACCATACCAGCTTCAATGGGTTCTCTGAAGACTCAGATCTGATAGAAAGAACTGCAGACCATGCATGACAGCATGCCAGTCTCAAAACTGCCACGTATGCCTTTCACTTTACTTACATCATCAGAAATATGCAGAATACTGCAGAGGACCTATCCTCATGAAGCTGTATGAGGAGTAAGTTTGGTAATGGCAAAAAAGAGTTCCTTGAGAACAGCAAAGGGGCAGCTGTGGCAAGCAGCTTCTTAAAATCTTGAAGGAATGAAAAACAGTTCAGACATGGACTCCTTTTCTATAAGCCTTCATTCATTTGCACAGATTTTATTCTACAAATAAAACCAAGTTTATTTGTGTGATGTGTGTAAAGACCAGTTGCATGTGTAGGGATTTGCATCAGATGACTTTCATTTTTTAAAGCCACCTACAGAACTTTACAATCCTATGTACAGTATCTCCTGTACAAAACCTCAAGGGTCAGCATTAATAACTCTGAAGATTTGAAAGCACTGCACTGCTGTTTTATTAATATTTCTTTAGATGTACAATATTGTTGGGGGTGCAAAGAACTCAAATAAAAAATCTAATAAGAACTCAAATAGAAATCTAATACAAAGAGCTGTTAAAATAACCAGAGGCTTAACCTGTTTCAGGACTTTTCTTGTGGGAATGAGTAGATACAAATAGCACTGAGGTTTTCAAATTTTGAGAGAGCCTGAAAAATGGGATGTAGAAATGTGATATCCCTGTGTTCCTGCGTTACAACTAACATGTTACATTTCATGAAGGTGTGTACAGCTCATGAGAACTGTAGTCATTATCACCTGCATGTAGTATAAGAAAGACAACTATTATCCCATGATGTTCACAAACTGCTAAGTGTCTTAGTTTTACTATGGAACCATGACAGCACTCCATGAATAGAGGTCCTAAAATGCATTATTTTAGCCTATAGTTTTAAAGTAATATACTGCATAAAGAAACTGGGAAAAAATTTGTTGTTGCTTATAGAAGTGACTATATTTTAAGTAATTTTCACAGACTTAATAAGAAGATGTAGTAAGATGTAGTTGTAAAACAGTAAAATTAATATTTTTATTACTGCTATTACATTATTTTTGTTTCAATTTGGTTGTTGTGTGTCCCCCTGTGTTTGCTTCATCCAGTTGTTCACTCAAACTAGATAATTCTTCACACATGCAAAATTACTGCTCAAGGAAATTCCTATTAGGCTTCAGGAGGTTTGCTGAAGTGAAGGATGCAGCACTTGACTCAGAATGTGCACAAGCATCTTATTTTTATTGCTCTGTTCTGCTTTATTCTTTTCACAGCAAATAAGTAGGATTAAGGGAGCATATCTTGAATGATTGATGATAATTCCGAATACCAAAACTAAATCTTTTGACTGCCTGACTTAGAAGTACTTATTATCCCCATCGGCTTCCCTGATATCAATACTCCCACACTGTTATTTCTGTCTAACACACTGAGATAGCCTAGAACAGTCAAAGGCCAGCTTACAATAATAAAAAATAAAAAGAGAAAGAAAGGAAAAGTTAGCTCAAACTGAATTCTGGGACTTGTTCTGGAATTATTAGGAAACATGGAGGAAAGACAACTCCCCCCACACACATCTCATTTTGTCAGTATTAGGGATCATTTATTCATTCTCTACTCTAACAGCTTCTTTGTGTTTTGCACATACTGCCATTATCTTGTGCATTCTTATTCCATCCCAATTAATCCCTCTTGAATACATGACCACACTATCTTATTTATCTTTATTATGGGAAAGTTACATCACAGATAGAAACACAGAAAAACCACAGTCTTGTTTAGGTCAAATCATATTTACAAAACAGTCTCTGAGCTCAGTGTGGTTAGATGTAAAACTTCAAAAGATAATGAAAAAGTTTGCAATTTTACCCACAGAGGAATAATGTAATTATTATCCATGTCTATGTGAAAATTATTTGTTTTTCTCTGAATATGGGAAGACAGTGGTCATTTAGATACATCTATGATTTTGGATCCATCATAGGAACAATCTTCTGTTAGAAAAAAACAACAGACATCAGAGTTATTTTGGCATAGACTACTCTATTATTCTGGTCACTACTGAAATGCATCATTCCAGTCTCTGACCAAACAAGGACTTATATTTATCTTATTTCTTCTTTTTTTGACTGAAAGGGGATTTCCAACATCTCTTAATTCCTTTTCTAGTCATTCCTATATTTTTTAGAGGTTTTGTGAACAATAAAAGACATTGTTTTGGAAAATTAAGAAAAAAAAAAAGCATGACCTCATTTGTATTTTTTCCAAGGGAGCAGATAAGGCTGTGAAATTTCAGAACCTTGCTTTGAAGTTTACTATGTGCGTTACTATAGATACTAACCTTCTGATGCTTCCAAATGTCTGCGCGTGACCTAAAAATCTTCCGAAATCTATGTGGAACATGTGTCCGGCATTTGTCAGCATAATGTTGTCATTGTGTCGATCACAGACTCCCAGAATGAAGGTAACAACACACCAGCCAGCGCAGGAATAAAAGAAATTCCTTATTGCCTAGTTAATAAAACAAAAGCACTTACTGGAAATAGTCAGAATTACTTGTTTGCAACGCTAACAAGAAAATCAAACACTGGACTTCTACAAATGCTATGCATGTTGTAGGAATGGTACTCATACAAGTAATACACAAATTTCAAAGTTACGATACAAAAACAATTTTATGCATAAGATTTTCACCTTGTGTATTATGGATACTTGAATTCTATAGAAAATTTCTAAGGTGAAATGTATGCAAGAAAAACAAGCTTCTTGGCAGGAAGTTGACATTTTCTGTTCAATAGCATGTATATTGCAAAAACCATTGTTTAGAAAATACTTGGAAATCCACAAATTTAACCATTTGTTTTGTAGTGAAAGTTGGTTATTTTATATCCACTGTACTGTTCAGTATCTATATGGGTCTTTTTTGGACAAAACCTACATTGTCCAAGGGAAATCATTATTTAGGCATTCAGGATTTCCCTGTAGATGTAGGGTGCCACCTGCGATGGCTGATACAGGTGACAGCACTGTGGAAAACTTAGGTCACAGCACAGGAATTAGCTGCGTTTTATGTCAGACTGTACTACTTATTCACTTCGAAGACTTTGGATAAAGAAACTAAGCTTTCTGTGATTTTGCTCACCCAACTGTAAAATAAGGATATTAAAGCTTATTCTGAATTAGTTTTATTGAGCACATTAGATATTGTATGAGTAAAAAATCAAGAAGGAGTAAAAAAAGAGAAAGGTTCATTCACCAAAGAGTGCAAAGTGAATGCACAGTACCAATTTTATGCATGCCCCATGCAATCAGATCCAACTGCATTTTATGTTTAAAAAAACTGAAAGAAAATGGATAACTGGTTTTAGAATATTCTACATTAATGGCAGTTTTTAAAAACCGCAGCAACAGCAAGAAATCAGGTTTGTAATCAATAACTAATAGTAACTTTTCAATTGAAATGTTGGCTGCACTTCTACCATAACACTGTAAACTTACAAACTTAAAAAAATAATCTTGACAGATTGTTCCTGTTTAATTGAATCGAGATACCAGGAATTCAAGTGTTCTTATGAAAATGAGGATGAACAAATGCCTGTGGAATAGCTACAAAATTATTAAAACCTATCAAAGATATTTATGCTGTATATTGTCTGATAAACTGTTATAGAAACAATTTTCAGAGTGGTAAACACTCAAAGGTCCTCTTTAAATTCAAGATTTTGGCTACTAATCTACTGTGGGCACAGAGTAGGGTTCTAAGAATTGTTCAGCAACATAAATGTTAGGTTTTTCATGGGCCTCAGAACATGCTCAACCAACAAAGAATTTATAAGTTAGTTTGGGAAACATCTGCTTCTATAAATAAAATTTCTAATTTTTTGGCTCATGCACAATGTCTAGTTTCATAAAATGAGATGCATTACATAGGATTAGGGCAATTAAGATGATTAAGGAAGTGGAGCATCTCCCTTATGAGGAAAGACTGAGGGAGCTGGGTCTCTATAGTTTGGAGGAGACTGAGGGGTGACCTTATTAGTGTATATAAATATATAAAGGGGGAGTGTTACGAGGATGGAGCCAGGCTCTTCTCGGTGGCAAACAATGATAGGACAAGGGGCAATGGGTACAAACTGGAACACAAGAGGTTCCACTTAAACTTGAGAAGAAACTTCTTCTCAGCGAGGGTGACAGAACACTGGAACAGGCTGCCCAGGGAGGTTGTGGAGTCTTCTTCTCTGGGGACATTCAAAACCCGCCTGGACGCATTCCTGTGTAAACTTATCTAGGTGTTCCTGCTCCGGCAGGGGGATTGGACTAGATGATCTTTTGAGGTCCCTTCCAATCTCTAGCATACTGTGATACTGTGATACTGTGTGATCCCACAATGTGATACGAAAAGCATGATTTTATGTGTCATATGACTAAGTAGTTTTGATAAAACAGCTCTCTAAAACTGTGTCTACTGACATGGGCTTTTCCAACTACAGGAAATCCACTGAGACTTTGCATGGTTTATATAAAGTATTTAGAGAGCTGACCTAAAAAATAAATGCTTAGAGTTCCATACTTAATTTCTACTTCTCTTCGCTTTACTACTAAATTTCAAAAATCTCTATGACACATTTTTATGGAAAATGTATTGCAGTACACCTGATCCAGAGCAGCACCTCCTTAGAAAGAGAGTGGCATTCAAGTCAACTCCCTGACTTCTATGCATGTGACTTGTTTGTCTTGTGTCTGAGTCATTTGTTTTTGCTTCTTACTGGCATTTGGGTTTCTTTTTTCCCCATGGTAAAACATGGAATGTATAATAAGCTTCATTTTGATGTTACCTCTTGGTAACTTGATTCCAGAGGATGGTGATGGCGGAACCATTTTTTAATTGTGTTTTCTTTCAATGGTCCTATCAGTCCAGACTCCCTGTGGATCTTCGCTAGTGTGGTAGCATCTGGCACCATCTGTACCAACCCTAATCAGATAGAAAAGAGTTTGCATGAAAAACCTTTAATTTTAAAAAGATAAGAACATCAATACATATTGCCTATTGTTGGATCATTCCATGCAAAAAAAAATACATGCAAAAAAGCTGAAAAAATAATTAATGCAATAGAAAATATAGATCAGAATTGGTTTTCTCTTTCTCCTTGGAAACAAAACACAAAGGACAGTAAAAAATGGCAGTTCTGTGAATCAGAAATAAAAAAAACCCAAACCAATAAAAATATTGTGGACATAACTGCCTCAAGGTACAAATAAGGACAACAATTTAATGAGATTCAAAGTGGGTAAAATATGTACAAAATTAACAAAAATCTGTAAAAAATAGGATTAGCTATTTACTGTGAAATATGTTGTATTTGTTTACTGTCTAGAATGCTACATATCTTTTTCTTCAGTATGTGATGCTAATCACAGCTGGGAGAAAGGATACTAGATAATGCAGAAATAAGTCTGATCCAATATGACATAAACTGGGACTTTGAAGTACAGAGAAGCCAAGCATTTTGTAATGCTTCACTTGAGTCCTCTCTGTCTCTATTTCATGCACTTAATCCCTCTTTTGGAACTGAGACCCTGTTTGCTGCCTTCTGTCCCTGTCCCCATGTGTGGTCCCCTGATGCATTTCTGTGAAAAGTAATTTAATTGTTCCCATGTCTATGAAATTATCATCTCCCACTTCCTTGTATGCAAAAGCTAGCCCACAGAGCAAGAGATTAGCCTGGGAAGACCTGGGTACACAAGTTTACTTAAGCACATATACTGTATGACCACAGGGAAGTCCCTTGGTCCTTTTATCCCTAATCATTAAGTGTAAATCAATTATATTAGCACTTTTATAGCTCATAAGAAAGACACTGTGTGGAAAATCTGTTGGACACCAAGAGGTTTTCTGCTGCTATGGTCCTGAAAGGAAGAGACTGTCAGGCAGAGAATACCTGCAGATGACCCCTGCATCTTTCTTGGCAAACATCAAATTAAGTGCTAGTATTTAGCAGAGACTATAATACAATTGGAAACACTGTTCTTGTATTATGCGCATTTGAAGCAGAAGCCTTTAAGCTTTGATCCCCATCTCTACAAAGAAAGAACGAGTCTTTCAGGTCACCTTAACACCCATCATGTGAACTCATCTAAACTTTCTCCTAGTTCCTTCAGATCATTCATCCTCTCTCATTTTCTCTTTGTAGCTCAGAAAGCAATGATTCCTTTTAATTTTTAATTTTAATAGTTTTGTACAGCAGGTAATCTGGATACATCAGTCTTCTATTTGTGCAAGGATTGTTCTATGATTATTCTCTGTAAAAGACTGGAGAGTCAGTAAAAAATAGTAAGCTCATGGCTGTCAGTAAATTTCTTTAGCAAGCAATTGGTGTCCCAGCTACAGTTCTGCTGTAACAACCACAAAAGAGAGAAAAAAAAAAGCTTTCAGATAAGTCAGACCTGCCCTTAGCAGCATAAATTGCAATAATAATGTTTCTAAATCAACACTGTGAAGCTGTCATCATTTATCTAGAGCTACCTTCTGTAGCCACATGCTACAGGTTCATTTAAGCACCTATGCAGGGTCACACCGGGTTAAAACTTCAGCAGCTATAGCAAATATTCTCCAAAGTTCTCTTCTTGATGTGTGAAGTTACTTTTAAGAATCTGGTGCAAGCTGATGGTGTTAAGGCTTTTGGAAAATTCTAGCCTAAGCTGCTACAAAATTCAATGAGTTTGGTTGCACTTCTTCTGGAGAGGCAGAATGAATAAATAAAATGAGCATTAAAATTCAGGGCTGGAGTAACTGAAATTCTGAGCATTGGTTTTTTTTTTAAAAGAGGAAGACAAATGAGACATCCATGAAAATAAAAGCTACAGGGAGGATTTTTGAATACTGTTGTTTACATGAAATATGAATAATGTAATACAGGTAACACTTATAATCTAAAACTGACCTTGGTCTTTTCCTGTAGATAAACACCTATAAATGATCATTTGCATATCCAGTCCCTCTTGGAGCCAAATGCTGTCCATTACTCGAATAATTTGCAGAACCAGCATATCTTGACGTAGATCATCGCCTATCTGTGAAAATTGCACAGGAAATCCAGGTTTCTCCTCCAATACCAGATAGAAATAACTTCCTATTTCATTTGGACTTTCTCCCCCACCAAAATAGCTACATTCATTTTGCAGTAAATCGGTCTCCTTTTTCTTCAAAATTGCTACTTATCTTTCCATGTCGGAAGAGGACAGAGGAGATGGCGCACATAAGCAGAAACAGTTTTGACAGCCACTGAGATGGTTACAAATGATCCCTGATTCACTGCAGCCCTGCTGCTTATTATTCCTATGTAATTATGGGAGTTTGAAAGTTTAATCCGGAGGTAGGATCCTAATTTAGTTACATTCTGAAGTCTACCTAATGCTAGATCCCTTCTCATAAATGACAGTGTTTGGCTAATGTTAAGCTTCACAACTTGGCATTTGCAGCAGGCTGAAGGGGAATTTTATCATGAATTTGTATTTTATCCATTACATGATTCATATTCAGTTTCAAACAGTGATGTGGTGTTGACTGCTCTGCCCATGAAGTCAGTCAAACAATAATCTTAGTGAAATGGGGCTTTAATTATAGCCACAAGAAGTAATGATGAGATTATTTTCAACCATGGTTGAGTAAATGGCCTGTGAAAAAATAAGCCCTGTGGTTTTTTTTTTTTGTTTCCCCTTTCCCACCCCATCTAAATACAAGTAACTTTTACTGGTATTTTTAAGTGGTTTATTCTTTTATTACATCCTTTTTATACAAGCATTCCAATCTACAGACATTCACTGCCATGAAATGAGTACTTGAGAACACGTAAACTAATTTTAAAAAGAAAAAATCCAAATATATTTTTCTTTTATTTAAAAATAATCTTGACTCCAATTAACCCTTCATAGTACCTAAGCCTGTGAAAAATCTTATTCTCTCCACTTACCTTCTCTCCTCTCACATATGAAGTCAGTAGATAATGTAGCATGATATCAATGCTTATCATTTTCCATACACATTATCCATAATGACTAAGCAATGAAACTATAGTACAAGATATATTAACACAATGGTTTGCTGACAGGAGATGGTGATGTCAGCTGTAATAATGCTAAAACTGTAACCGGATGGTTGTTAGTTTGTTGAATGTTACTGGGCAGGGAAGATACAGTCTAGGCAGAACCAGCACAAATGTTTAAATACCCCCTAAGCAGGCATTTACTTAGGTAAGTAGGAACCTATCTAATTAACATTGATTCTCAGATTAAATAGTACAAGAACCAGATCTCTGAATATTCAGGAAAACGTAACATTGATAGCTCCATTAACAGACTTCTGGTTCGAAAAATTATACTGCAAAAGATCTAGGAATAATGTCTTTCGCAACACCGACCATACTCATCAGCTATTTTACAAACTTCAGTATTCTCCTTTAAAAACAATATCCACTGCTATGTAAGATCTTTGCTCTTTTGAAAGAGAAGTAACTTTAAATTGCATGTACTGTCTTCTGTGGATGGACACAGCACTGTCCTGATCTCTGAAGTTGTTTTTAGGTGACAATTGGAGAATAAACCAGAGTTTATTTTCCAGAGGTCAGTTCTTCCAAGTAACTCCAAGGAGACACCAGAGCTACCCTGCTGTCCCCTCCACCTTCGTCTTCCTTGGCCAATTCACCCATGTTGGATGATAGGAGCAAATATAGTTCTGTGTAGCAAATGCACCCTCTAATACTCCAGTATTTTTATTTTTTAGAGCTATATGGAGAAGGCTAATGGATTCAGTTATTCAGAGCTCTCTTCTCTGAGATTTGCCCTCTGACTTCATTGTGGTAAATAAACTAGGTTTAAAATATAAGATTGTTTTAGCCTGGTTGTCTCCACTAAGAAAAAGAAAAATTGCAGGGAGTTGATTCTCTGCTGATCAAAAAATTTGATACTTCAGTGCATTCCCTTAATGTATTCCATTATAAGTTATATGTCAGAAATAATTGGGAAAAGCAAACAACAGAGCCAAATCAAACCATCTCAGGCTCAAGGTTTAAAATATAAATTAGGTGAACTTCAACATTTTCCATACAAAAGGAACTGCAGATTAGAGGAATAACTTACCTTAAAAATAATATTGATGTTTTCACTTGGAGCATTTGCATTGACAAAGGAGATTTTTAATGGAAAAGCATTGGACGTAAAATATGAACATGACTTCAGGGAAAAAAAGATGAGAGAGAAGAACAACAGCGTCATATATACAAACCATCAGGATAATACCGTTACTCAAAAAAAACTACCATCTTTAAATACTACTTTTACATTATTGACTGTTTAATTGGATCAGGAAAATGAGAAATTCTTTTTCCCAGACTATTTCACTCAATAGGAATGGGTAATTTTTTTCTGTACTAATTGTTTTTCATTTTTACACAGGCCTATTAACAACAAACTTTGGCTGGGACTAAGTGAATGAAGCACAGAAGACTGATCTAACGAGAATCTGTAAAGCATTGAAAAGCCTTTGGTCCTATTATTTTCTGGGGGGGAAAAAAAAACCAAAGCCCCAGTCATGCAACCTTTATGGAAGCAAATAACCTGCTAATTTCGTTGGTGACCTCACTCTGGCTGAGGATACAGGAAATTCTGAAAAATCCTCATCTATTTTATGTGGAATTTATCTTAATTACACATAAACTCTGACTTCTCATGCCCTACAGCTCCTTCCACCTGAAGACCTCAAAGGGCTTCAAAACAGATTAATGAGCCCAGCACTGCAAATCCTGTGTTAGAGTGGTATTATCATCATTAAAAAAAAGGAGGGGGGAACCCACCAAAAAAACAACCAAAGACAAGGGTAAATTAATGGCCTGGTTTCTAGAAATAATGAGTTCCCCACAGGAGCCAGTGCTGTCCTTACTGGGTGGAGTGCAATGGAGGCTAATTTGAACAAAACCAGTACTAGACACAGCTGCTTCTTGCTTTTCATCCAAACACCTCAAAACATGGTACAAGCATGCAAATATTGTCTTAGCCACATCATATCTCTGCAACATGCAACAGCTATCATTGACGATGAAATCCTAGTCCCCTATGGAATTTTGCCAATTGAAATGTCTCATTAAGTGCTCAAAACGTTACTGTGAGATAATGCATTACCAATAGAGCTGGGAGCAGTACTTGCAACTAGTAAAATCAATAGATGACACCAAAATGAATTAAATTTAGGTAATTATAAGCACTTAAAAATTCTAATTTGCATGATTATACTGACATATGGTTCAATCAAGAAGCTGCATGTATTTATAGCAAGATAATGGCCTATAATGATATAAGAAAACCAAAAAAAAAAAAACCCCCAAAGTATTTCTCTTCAGATACTTTTATTTAAACATTTTGTATCTGTCCAGCCAAGCTGGTTCAGTATAAATAGCATGACTATATGGTGAAATACCTTCCCATTAGCCATTATTTCCAAAAAGGCCTGAAAGCAGTGAGAAGCAGCAGGCTTCAAATTCTTCTCACTTATACCATACATAATTGGCCCAGGTCTGCAGGGTGCTGGAAGACCTCTGTTCTGAAACAGATCAAGGCTGAATAGCAATTACTGGGAGAATCATGGGTCAAAGGCAACTGAAGGGATCAGCACCTCTTAGAATCAGGTCCACTGTGGATAATGAGCCAGAGAACAAAAATAGAGCACAAATTGCTGTAATTAGGCAGCTGAAACTGGTAATATATATGGGTGTTCAGATTTGTTTTCTCTTGCTGCTGGATACCTTTGCTTTCTCCAGAGATGGAACACCTTATTCCTGGCATAGTATTGTTTATGAAAATATTTCTAAACAGTGAATAACTGAGCCTTAGTACTGTGGTCAAAATAAGTAACACCGAAGAACACTGTTTTTTCCTTTTTTCTTCAGTCATTTTCAACAAAGGTCACAGACACAGGTAAGTTATTGTGAATATTTAATATTTTAGCTATTCTCAGTCCTTTGCCTAGTCTTGCCTCAGCAAAAAAGGAGCTATCTTTAGACCTTTAGCTGCTCTCATACCTGACAAGGGAGTCATAGATGACAAAAAAACCTGCCACCAAAAGCTGCCTGGGCAGGACAGTAACCTTGCCAATCCTGACACCACCACAGGGTAGCTTAGCTGGGAGCAGGCTGCTCAGAGTTTGAAATCTCTGCTGCCACTGCTGTGTAAGGTGACACGTGTTTGCAACACCCACTTCACCTCTCCCTCAAACAAAGGCCTCCAGTTTAAAGCGGATTAGGCTAGTGTCAGTTTCCCAGATGACCCATCCTTTATACCAGTATTTCCTAGTCAATGCAACCATTCAATCCCTCTCCCCTTTTATACTAAAAAAACCCAAATAAAAAGACCCAATTAAAACCATAATTCATTGCATGAGCTAGACTTACATCTGCCTTTATGCCTTGGACAACAAGCGCGGGATTCAGGGGAAGCCGACAAACCTTTACCTCCTGGAAGAACCGCTGAAGTCTGTTGAGTTCCACCTTTAACACCTCCTGCAACATGTGAATCGTTATGGCAACATGAAAGAACATAGCAGCAGCTTTTAAACCCTTGACTGTCTTTCTGTATTTTAAACCAGCAGTACAATTTCTGGAGCTAGCAGCATCCATGCAAGCTTATAACAGCTAATGAGGTCATGCTGAGGTGCAGCTATTAAAAATAAGAACTGTGATTTTACTTCACGTTCATGTTTTTTTCCGACTAGGTACACTACCAGTTCACGCTGTCATGTCGATTCAGATTCAACACCATTCATTAGAGGCTGATTAGCCTTGCACCTGCTTTGCTGTATCTCATATTGTTTTTGCCTTGATGGACAACTTCACAATTTGTTGCTTGCTGCCTCAACATTGTGATCTCCCTCACCTAACTGTAGGTGCGTTAACTGCAAGGTTTAGGAATTTCTTGGTATCAGTGTAACTGCAGCTTTGAGATTAATCTCTAAAATCCCAATTATGCATAAATAGTATATAATGTATCACTCTTTCTTTGCACAGATTTTTTTCCTTTGCATACCTTTTCCTCTATATACTCCCATGTTTGCTTTGCTGCTCTCAGTAGCAATATTGAGAGTTTTCTGAAAAATCCTTTGAAAATCTTTGAATCCTTAATAAGGCAAAAAAGAAATTATGGTAACTGTCACGATAACCAGCAGTGGCAGGTATATTTTTATTTGGCTTTCTGGTCTGTCTTGCTGAGCTCCCAGCAAGCAGCAGTTTTAAACATCAGGTAAGTAACAACAGCTGTCTTGGAAAATTAAAAGAGAAGAGGACTACAAGCCTGCTGGAGAAGAGGACTACAAGCCTGCTGCTACCAATGCATTTCTGCAGATATGTGTGCAGTATTAATTGCTGAATGCTGTATTTAAGATATTAAGTACAGCCCACTCTGGTTGGCTTTACTAAGAAATGAGGATGTTCAGACTGTCAAGGACAACTCAGCAAGGTTTTCAAGAAGCACAGCAGCTCTACAGGAGTCAAATATTTTGAGATGAGGTGCTGAATGTGAGCATTCCTTGCTGTAAAATGCTAATTGGTTTTGTTGCTGTTATTTCTGACCACTTCCAAGTCTGGTTGAGGAACAACCAAAGAAGGAATTTAAATGGCTTAACAGATCTACTGACCTCAAAGTAATAGTTATGAGAATTGTCCCATTAAATACAAATGTTTTACTTGTTTTCAGCCCAGCACAAAATTTTACAAAGTTCAGTCAAATCTTGGGTTTATTTATGTAAAGGGCGCTATAGGTAAGAGATGTTACCTCAGAAAAAATAACTTAGATGGTAGAGAAGGTATTTTTAACAAACCTTTCTTTTTGCATCACTGGCAGCTTTTACTTTTTTGGCAATGTCTTCCAGAATTCCGGTAAGTTTCTCCTCCTTAGAAAACTCATTGTTCAGGGTTTTTCCAGCACAGAACTGGAGAGCAGCCAGTACTTTCTGATACCAGATTTTGAAATGAACTTCATTCTGTGCATTCTTCAACAGCCTGAAGGAGGGAGGGGAAAAAACATTTGTGTATCTTAAACTGATTTTTATTTTCCACCACCTCTAGCAGAAACAATAAATGGACTCCAGACTAATCTGCATTTGGTGACTCTGGGCAGCAGAGAATGAAAACAAAATGTTGTGTATTTGCTGTCAGTACTCAAATCCCATTTGATAACTAATGAGATTCTGAGTGTGTTGAATCAATAGGAACCCACCAATTCTATGCATTGTCAAACATAGTTCTGTGCCTGTATTGCTTCTTATTTCTGCTAGAAAATTTTACAAAATGAAAATAACTTGTATTTCTTGAAGTCCAGCCCTAAATATATATCCCCAAATCTATTATTCCTTCCCCCCCCCCCCCCCCCCAGCTCCTGCCAGTGCACTTATATAGCTAAGCATATCTTTCATCTAGGAGGTGCATTTAAAGACTATTTTAGATTCAGACATCATCATTCTAGAAACTTTCTCTATTTTAAATTGAGGAGACATTTCTGAAATTGACTATAGTTCTAAAAAGAGTGAAATGAGCCCACTTTATTCCTTTCTTTACTGGTAAGTGTTGGTCTAAAGCAAAAGCTCAGCTCAGTTCTACTGCAGTTTATAAAAGCTTTGGAACTGGAGTTATTACTAACATAAAAGTCGGAAAGAAAAAGTCGGAAAGATACTTTTCCTTTTTTTTTTTTTCAGTTTTCTCTAATTACACACTCATTTAGGCCAGGAAAACTGTTGAGCTTATGGAGGTTTTTTTAGTTAATTGAACTGATCACTGGGAAATCTTTTCCATATGTGGGCCAGAGGTTTAGTACACATTTGATTTATTTTTATCAGTGTAGATGTAATCACCAGCTTTGTAGTGCTACTAACATCCTGCCCATTGCCCCGGATTTTCTTTTGCCTGAAGGACTGATGAGCTGCTCTTTGCTTCTGTCCAAACTTTCTTCCCCACAACTTCATCCTTAAGTATGTCTCAAACCTTAAATTCCTTGTACATGTCTAAATTTTAATGCATAACCTGAAGAGGTTATTCAGACCTAACAAATAATGCTAGTTTTCACAGGAAATCAGAGAAGCTGTTGACTTTAAAGGCACATCATATATGAATATGTCATGTAAAAAAGCAAGAACAAGATATATATCAAGCACTGATATTTAAAGGTTTAAAATAATAATTCCTATAAACACTTCAACTCCTTCAAATCATACATGAGGCACTACAGTATTGCTACAGCAGTCCATGCATCTTCTGGTGATGAGGGATTCTTGACATCTTTTATAAGGCAATGTTCCTTCTAGGTCCTCTTTTCCTACATAATTCAATGAAGAATAATATTACCTACCAGCTTCTGAAAAGCCTCTCCAGTAACACAGAATCTCTGAACATCTAAGGGTTTATAAGTACTGAAAATCTTAAAAGAATGTGTGGTGTTTCTATCAGAAATGCCCAGACATGAAAGGGAAGAGATATGAGAATTTATCATCACCACTCTCTGGAGGAGACTGACAAAAATGACATCTTTTTTCCTGTAGGCTAGTAAAAACAAATAATTACTTTTTGGATCTGAAAGAAATAGAAATTGTCATTGCAGTGCCTGGTGGAAGGCAAACCTCACCATATGGAGACAGTTGTATTCTTATCCTCAACCTTCCCCAAACTGAAGAAGGCTGAGGGAACATGCGTGTATGGAGGTGGATAGACTAATCCTTCCAGATTTCAAGCAGACTAAGTCCAAGATCCCACAGGATGGGATTAACTTGCTTAAATGTAGATGTCCTATGCCATTTTAGATACCCCAGGAAATCCTATTTGGCCTTTGCCTTGGAAGGGCATTGGTCCACTAGAGGCAGTATCTCCTGTGTGATGCTCCCATCCAGATGTCTCAGATGCCCTATGCTGTCTAGAATAGCCTATGTTTAGGGTACTGAATCACATTCTGCAGTGGCCTTTTAAGTCAGCTGTAGGCAAACAAGGTGACTTAGAACGAAAACATACTCTGTGCACTTCATCAGCAAGTCAGGAACAGGCTTGGTGATTATTTTTTAAACAAGAGCATTACTGACACAGTCTAGACCGTCACATGGGCAGGAATTTTAGTCTACCAAGCAGAGCACAGCTCAGTCTCAGTCCAGCTAAACAGTTTGCATTTCTCTTGGAGCACAGGCAGAATGAACTTATTCACTTCTTCCCTGCAAAGACATGTGAACCTAAGAAAAGACGACACCACTGTGATACCTATTTTGAACTGGCCAGGTTATGCTGGTGCAGAATCTTCTGTCTGCACTTAGGCTTGCATCGGAATCATCTCCTGAGCATTCACTTCCACCATTTTTAACGGTACATATTTAGAATCCAGAAAACCCTTTTCATGTCCCTTTAATCCTTTCAGATATACAGAACATTAAACCAACTTTTTATTTTCCTAAAATGAAAGGCTTAGGATTTCACATACAGGAAGCAAAATAGTAAAACAAAAATGGTTTTCTATTTTAAACAGAGCTACTCCCTACATAAGGCAGATTTACTTAGAAGATATATTTTTTGATCATTCTTATGGCTGAGTGCTCACAGAAAATAAGCTTATGTACATATACAATATAAAGATTTCTTTTCAACCTGAGAAAGGATTATGGGCTAGATTCAGATAGCTCATGCATAATTTGCACAAAAGGACTGAGGACATATAGAGTCTGAATCCTCTCTCATGTGCTTCTCTCATGAGCCCAATCCACAGGGAAAGTTGAGGCAGTTACGATCTCACTGGTAAAATCCATTTCCATGCCAGCTGCAGCCCAGCACACACTCCACAGTCTGAACCCACGTGGCAGCTTTTGACAGTGCATGTGCTTCCCCAGCAGCCCCATGAGGGGCTTTCCACTCAAAATGCATCTAGTGACTGCAGTACAGGCAGCACAGCTTCCTTCTGGCGGCCCGCTGGGGTAGGTAAGCTTTTAAAAGCTGGTGGACCTTAATTTGAAAAATGATTTGGATTAACCGGGTCTGACTTTCACATTCATTTTATAAAAGCAGTCCCTATGAGGATACAAATGACAGCTTTTAATGTGATGACTCATTGTAGGCTTTGCTGAAATGTTTATTCAACAACTGAACAAATACGTTGCTGTAATTCTGTCTTCCCAGTTTCCTGGCACACACATCTTCACCCTGCCACTGAGCGAACACAGCGGAGATAGGAAAATCTGCAACTTCTGAGGTTACAGGATGGAGAAATGCTCAAGACACTAATGAAATTTTCAAGTTAGAACAGGATGCCTCGCTGTGACAGAGGAAGACAAAATTGGAAAGATTTAAAACTCATGGCTGCCAGTAAGGAAGTATTTGAAGGGTTTTATGGCTTTTTTCCCTGAGAATTTTCACAGGATTCTGTAAGACAGAACTCAATATAAATGCCTGGCTTTATGCCAGGCCTAGACAGAGAATCTTGCTTCTAAGAGGGAGACTTCCTCACTTCTCAGGGTTCTCTGATGTGGGACAAACACCCTCGTTCTCAGCAAGACCAGGGGAATTTAGACACCATCCCAAGGTCACTTTCGCAAAATAGCACAACAGGGCTGGAAACAGAAGGATGCTGACCTGAAATTTAGCAATGAAGCAAACTAGGCTGACACTGCTTAGCAGCAGTCTGAGGGTCCAGGTCAGGTGCTGGGGCCCGCTGAAAGATGCCCCCAACTTCTGCAAGCACCTCATTCTCTTCCTTTCTGCATGCACCCACTCCATGGCTGCAAGGTGACTCCAGCCCCCTTTTCTGGCACTCTCAGTTGCAGAAGTGTGTGTGTTTTCCTGGGTACAGAAACACAAGTGCTGTGGAAAGATTTTTGCTAGAGGCCAGAGGGAAAGTGGGATTGAATCAGGCTGAGCTGGCTGCTGTCTCTGAGGAGAAACGGGGCTAAAACCATCAGCTGTGGAGAAAAATGAATTTTATTTATCTATTTTTTTAAAGTGAGGGAGAAAAAAAGAAGGAAGGAAAGGAACGAGATTAGATGGATCTTGATACCAAAACAGGTGATCTGGCTTCATTATGCTTCTGTGGCACGGGGAGGGAGGGAATTTGATACTCAAAAGGCCTCGCTGCAGACACAGTCTGCTCTCTGAGTTGGATTTGGCAGTCAAGTGAAAGAGTGAGGCTGCTCAGACAACTCTACTGTTTGAACATCTGTTCCTTGTCTCCTTCAGAAAGGGGAGCAGGGTGGACCAGAGGACAGGTCTGACAGGACAGATTAGCTTGCAGGTAGCCTGTTAAACTGCATCGGAGCAAAAACTCCAAGAAACAGCGAAATCTCCAGTATTTTATTGTAGGTTTAATCCCACCTGCTATAAAAGAGCAAGACACAGTTTGATGGGACTATTTATGTGTGATGTCAAAGTGGTGACTGTAGCTACTGCATTTCCAAACAATGTCTGGTATTTATTAGACAAAAGCTGTGCCTACCAACACACACTGTATACTATTTGCTTAATATGCCTTCAGTTCAGAGAATTCAAATGAAAACGAGGTGCCTTAGGGTTTTAAGGTGAGGGCACAAGTACTTACTCCATTGTTCAATCTTTGGTAAACTTGAACAAGTCAATATGGTTTCTTGCTATACTTCGTGCTTGTTTTCTATTTTACTAAGCAGGAGGCAGGAGGAGTCACAGAAGAACATTAGTAGTAGACTGCTGCTTGCTATAACAATAATTGTTTTAATATTAATCTCCACAGCCCTTCATATTAAAGATCAGCACAGAAACACACTACCACTGCACAGTTTCCATGTCTGAGGTTGCCATCTGTCTTTGATTTTAATTAGCCATCCTGCAACACTTCTACACTGTCCCTTGTGCTTTACTGTGCCATGGAGCTATGGCACACACCTGAAGCATATGACCAATTTCATTTTCAGCTCCTTGAAGAAACCATTTTACTGTTTGTATTCTTTAACAGGAGAATAAGTAACAGGGGTTGTTTGCCAGTGGGGCTGCATTTGGGCTTTGTGGCTTCT